CTCCAGACTAGACATTCCTGCTTCTTCATTCCATGCCAGTCTTCATAGGCATGATCTCGAGATTTTTCAGCATCCTAATCAACTTTCTCTGAATGACTTATAATTTATCAATGTTGTTCCTAAAATGTGGCACCCAGAAGTGAACACAATCCCCTAGGCATATTCTTTTTTTTTTTTAATTTTTAGGCAATTGGGGTTAAGTGACTTGCCCAGGGTCTCACAGCTAGTAAGTGTTAAGTGTTTCCCTATGTGTATTCTGACCTTTGCTCTGTAGAGTTATACTGCCATCTCTCCAGGCCCGAGCAACTTCTCTCAATGCTGCCTCACACTCTTAATTCATCTCTAGCTTGGATTCCACTAAACACTCAAGACATTTTTATACCTGTAAAGCTGATTTTGTTTAACCTAGTGTAAAAATTTATATTCAGCCCCATTAAATTTATTAGATAATCTATTAGATTTAGCTCAACCTTTTATTCTGTCAGGATCTTTTTGGAACCTGATTTTATCATCCAACATAATAATTATCCCTCTCACATTTCTATCCCCTTCAAAATTTTACAAGCAAACCATCTATACCTTTATCTGAGTCAATGATAAAAAGTGAAACTGCACAAGGCTTAGCACAAATCCCTAGGACACGCCACTAGATACCTTATTCCAAGATGGCACAAAATTATTAGTGACTAATTCTGGCCATTTGACAAGTTCCAAATTCACTTTGTCCACAAAAATGGCAAAAGAGACGATTAAATCTTCTGCTGAGCTCTAGGTACAGGTACACCTCATTTAATTGCACTTCACAGATATTGTGTTTTTTGCAAACTGAAGGTCTGTGACAACCCTGCATCAAGCAAGTCTACTGATGCTATTTTTCCAATAGCATGTGCTCACGTCATGTCTCTGTGACACATTTTGGTAATTCTTGAAATATTTGAAACTTTTTCATTATTAGTATATCTGTTATGGTAATCTGTGATCAGTGATCTTTGATGTTACTATTGTAGTTGTTCTGGAGAGCCATGAACTATGCCCATAAGACAGCAAACTTCATCAATAAATGTGCATGTTCTGACTGCTCTACTAACCTCACCAATTCCTCTCTGTCTCTCTCTCCTCAGGCCTCCCTATTCCCTGAGACACAATAGTATTGAAGAATATTACATAAACTTACTTGATAAAGCAGCATCAGGGTTTGAGGCAACTTACTCCAATTTTGACATTCTTTTTTTTAATCTTGAATTCCAAATTCTCAAGAGTCCTTTGGAATCATCTTGGATCATTGTATTGCTGAGAACAGCTAAGTCATTCACAACTGATCATCATACAATATTGTTATTACTGTGTACAATGTTCTCCTGGTTCTGCTCATTTCACTTTGCATCAGTTTATGTAAGGATTGACTCCAATTTTGAAAGAACTTTTACTGTAGGTGAAATGCTATCAAACAGCATCGAGTGCTGCAGAGAAATCTTTCATTGAAAGGGAGAGTCAATTGATCCAGTAAACTTCATTGTCTTATTTCAAGAAATTGCCAAAGTCACCCCAACCTTCAGCAACCACCACCCTGATCTGTCAGCAGACATCAGCTTTGAGGCAAGACTCCCCAGCAGCAAAAAGATTACTACTAGCTGAAGGCTCAGGTGATGGTTAGCATTTTTAAGCAAATAGCTTGGTGCAAAGGAAGATGTCATGTAATGACACTGGTGAGATGGTCAGGGTGGGTAGGAGAAAAGGGATGCTAATTTGGTATAAAATGAAATAGGGAGCTGCTGGCTCTTGAATGATTGGTACTTAATAGGAGAGGGAGAACGATGCCTCTCGGTAATATACTGTTGAATGCTGAACTATACTAAACATTTAGGAAGAGGGTAGTGAGATGAAGACATGACCCTGACAAAATCAGTTTATAATCTAAAATAGGCACACTGATGTGAACACCTAGAACCAGTGGAAATATAAGGGGCTTGTATCATCAAGACAAATAATATATGATGGTTAATGCTTTTGCTACTATAAATATTGTATTTCTGTGGTTCACTGATGATTAAGTATAAGGTTCATGTTTTTCCCTGATCCCATCACAAAACAGCAGGCCATGTCAACCATACAAAAATCATCTGGATATTTTAGCAACCACTCAGGTACCATGATAGCTACACTTTACATCCAGATATTTCATTTTAATGCGTATTTAATTGTTTTCTTATAAAAGACCAGAATTCCAAAAGACAATAATCAAATTCAGAAAAATCCAGATCTTTTGGCCACGGTTCATTAAATGCAAATCTGATACCCTCTGCCTGTCTATACAAGTAAAAAAAAAAAAAGTCTCTCTTTATTAGACTCGATCTATTTGAGAAATCAAAGAGATAAACCACTTGAACAGATTTTAATATAAATGTTTTTGTTCCACTTTTAAGTGCAGACTCATCATTAATGACACAAAACACAGTGAACTTCCATATACGCAGGCCTATTGGTGGGCCAAAAGAAGAAAAAGATAAAGAAAGAAGTATATATGAAATACAGGCTATCAGGAAAGATTCTTATAAACTATGTTCATTATATTATTAATCAATTTATCAAATGCTTGCTTGCCTGTGTAATTCTAGGGAAGAATTTTAAGATAAAAAATCTGGATTTTCAAAAAAGCATTGTATTTGCACCTAAACAAATGAAAAGCATTGACCCATACTTCAAGACCAACTCATATGCCACTTCTTCCAGGAAGTCTCCTTTTAATTTCCCAGTTGGAAATCATAGACCTGGACTGGGCCTCATAAGTCATCAACCAACAAAGTCTAGAAATGCTAGCTACAGCAATAATATGAGAACAAAAGTAGAGGCATAAATGTTGGCAAAGAGGAGACAAAATTTTCTTTTTTGAGCAGAAAACATGATGGTGTACTGAGTAAAATCCCGAAAATTAGCAAAGAAACTAATTGAAACAATTATAGATTCAACAGGGTAGCAGAATACAAAATAAATTCACAAACATCATCGGCATCTCTACAAAATACTAACAAAACCCAAGAACAATAAATTCCATGCAAAATAATTACAAAATATATAATATATGGTCATTAGCCTACCAAGATACACATAAGATTTATATAAATATTGTATTTATATTATATATTATATATATAAATATTGTATTTATATTATGTAAATAAATCTAAAACACTTTTAACAGAAATAAAGGGAGACTTAGAAATTACTAATCTGCTCATGATTAGATAATCCATTATTACCAGACTTCAAACTACAGTATAAAGCAGTAATGATTAAAAAAAAAATTGGTACTAGTTAAAAAAAAAAAACAGAAAAAAGGAATAGACTAGGGGGAAAAAAGAAACAGAAGCAACTGGGAACAGTGACCTCATGTTTGATAAAAATAAGGGCATAAATTACTGGAGGAAGAACTTTTTTTTTTTTGACAAGAACTCCTCGGAAGACTGGAGAGCAATTTGGCAGAATTTAGTTTTAAGCTGACATCTTAAACCATATATCACAAAAAGCTGAAAATGGATACATGAGCTGATAATAAAATATCAAACCATAAAAAAAATCAGAGGAGAATGAAATACCTTTTACAACTATGGCTCAAGATAGAATTCTTAATAACAAAAAAGGGGATAAAAGAGATCAAAAAAGGTAAAATAAACAATTTTGACTACATCAAATTTTTTAAGTTTTTGAATGAATAATATCAAAGAAAGAATTAGAATAGCAATAGTAGAGCAAGAAAAATATTAATGTCAAATATTACCAATAAAAGTCTGATACCTAAAATATATAGGAATTATATAACACCATAAGTCATTCCCCCAAAAATAAGCAGTTTAAAAAAAAAAGACATGAACAAGTCTTTTAAAGAATTGAAAACCATATATAAAAATGTGCTCCAAATCACTGATAGTAAGAAAAATTAAAATGAAAACAACCCTGGCACCATGACAAAAGATGGAAATAGGCAATGTTGAGGAAGTTCTTGGAAGACAGATTCATTGACATACTGGTGGTGAAATTGTAAAGTGGTCCAACCATTCTAGATTTCACTTTGGAATTATGCAAGAAAAATTACTAACTTGCCCATACCATCTGACTCAGCAATCCCACTACCATACTGAGATTATATCCCAAGGAAGACAATGACAAAAACATATAGTACAATATATACTCTTTCTGGTGGCAAAGAACTTGAGGCCAAGTGGGTATCCATTGATGGTGAGATGGCTGAGAAAACTATATGAATGTAATGAGATATTACTATGTAGTTAGAAATGACAAGAGTTAAGTCAGAGAGGCATGGAAAGATATGCATGAACTGATGCAGATGGAAAATAAGCAGGACAAAGAAAACATATACACAAGAACTATAATAATGCAAATTAAAAGACCACTAGGGGCAACAAGATGGCACCAGCTCTGGAGTCAGGAGGACCAGAGTTCAAATGTGAACTCAGACACTTATTAGCTATGTGACCCTAGGCAAGTCACTTAACCCCATTGCCTCAAAAAAAAAAAAAAAAAACCAATAAAAGAAAGGAAGTTGAACTCTGAGTTAACTGGAAAACTAATGACAGTCCCAGAGAATAAATAATGAAACATACCTCTTCCTTCTTGCAGAGGGGTGGGGGCTGCTAGGATCAGGTTTGCTTTTAAAAAGAAAAGCGATCAAGGACACTGGGGTGATAGAAAGACTATTGGATTTAGAGTCAAGGAACATGGGTTCCAATTCTTTCTCTGCTAGTTATCAGCAATGTAATCTTGGGAAAAATCAGTCCGTCTAGTCTTCAGTCTCCTTCCTGCAGAATGAAGGAGCTGGACTCTTAATATCTCTACAATTGTTCCTACTTTTAGGGCCCAGGGCCTATATATGAATTGCGGGAATGGAGAACTCTTTTGGAGGAGCTTTGCCCTTGAAGACATCAGGCAAGGTGGAGGCAACCATCTCCCTGATGTGCCCTTAGCGCTTCAGATCCTGAGTTTACCTTCACAGTGCTTGCCCTCTCCTTGGTAGCCTGGCTTGCAGGAGCACTTATAGGACTCGAGTGTGTTCTGACAGATGGCATCTGCGTGGCAGTCATCAATTCCTCCTGCACACTCATCAACATCTGCAAAGAAGAGAAGTTCAGCAGCAGCTCAGCGGTTTCCTTAAATGAAGTGTGCTGCCATCTTCTTTCAGCAGAAGGAGACTGGACGGGTTAACCTCTTTTCTTCTAACCAAATGTCCACCCAATCTGTCCCTGCCCACTTTACCAATCAGGAAAGCAGCATAGGCCTTACTGAACTAAAAGATACTATTCTTGAAAAAGGTGCTCTATATTTATCAAACTAAAGAAACTAAAATTTAACTGCAATTTTAGAAATTAGTAGCTAAACTCTCCTTTAAAAGAAGACAAGATATCTGTTTCCGAGATATTAAGGTGTGCCTGGCATATCCTTACACGTGCTTATGATTGGTAGAAATATTTGGTGGAAGTTAATCTTCCTGATTTTTTTTTTAATCAAGTTTGGGAAATAATTGAAGTTGAGTTAGCCCTAGCTCATCAAAAGCACTTAACTCCAGATGCTGAAAATTCAGGCTTATTCTTGAAAAAGGGTCACTTAAGGGCATTCCCTGCTCCCCAGGCAGCTGGTCCCCCAGCAAGTAAAAGCACTAGTGAACCCCACGGCCCAAAGAGGGAGGGAGGCCAGGGGGGGCACAGAGGTGTCTGTGGGAAGCAGTCCTGGGTCTAGAATGTACAGAAAGGGAAAGCAAGAAGAGGGGAGGGAGGAAAGGGGAGGGAAGGGAAGGAGGAGGGGGAAAGAAGGGGAGAGGGGGGAAAGAGGAGAGGGAGAAGAGGCGAAGAGAGGAGGGGAAGGAGGAAGGGAAGGGGGATAAGGTGGAGAAAGAAAGAGGAGTGAATGGGGAGGGGAGAGAGAAGGGTAAAGTGAAGGAGAAAGGGAGGAAGAAAGGGGTGAAGGTGGAGGAAGGAGGGGTGCAGGGGAAGGAAGAAAGGGGTGCAGGAGCTGGAAAGAGGGAGGAAGGGGCAGGAAGAAAGAGGGGTAAAAGGGAAGGAGGAAAGAGGGGCAAAGGGGGAGGAGAGAAAGGGGAGGGGGAGGAAAAGGGAGTGAAGGGAGAGGTGAGAAAAGGGGGAAGGGGAAAGCGAAGGAGACCAGAGGAGTGGAGGGGAGCGCAGGGACCCGGCCGGCGGCAGGGAGCTGTCAGCAGCCCGGCCGGCGGCGGGGAGCTGTCAGCAACCCCGCCGCGCACCGCCCCCGGCCCCCGCCCCCCGCCCCCCCGCCGGGCTCGCCCCGCGTCCCGTCCCGCCCCGCTCCCTCGCTCCCTCGCCTCCGGACGCTCACCCTGGGATGGCGGCGGGGACAGCGACAGCCCCGAGACCAGGAGCAGCGGGAGCAGCGGGAGCAGCAGGAGCAGCAGAGGCGCCCCGGCCGGCCCGGAGCAGTCGCGGCCCCGGCCCCCCATCGCGGAGCCGGAGGCGGCGGGAGCGCAGCGCAGCGCAGCACAGGAGTGCCTGGAGTCGAGCGGTCGCCGCCGCGGGAGGGGCGCGAGTGCGCGTGAGGGAAGGCGCGCTGCCCGACTCGCGCCCGCCAGCCGCCCGTCTGACACTCTGACAGCCGCGGCTCGCGCCCGCCTGCCCCGGGCTGCCCCGCCCCCAGAGCCCGGCCTCATTTTCACCGGGGGACAGGGCGGCCCCGCCCCTTACCCCCCCACCCCCGCAGCCTCGCTCCCAGCCGGGCCAAAGGGGCGGGGTCTCCTGACCGTCCCTCTCCCCGCCCCCCTGCGGCCCGACTCCGACTCCGACCTACACACCTGGCGGGCTCGGGGCTGGCTGCCTCGCCTCCTGAGCGCACGTGGCTGCGGCGCCTCCGCTCCCTCGGGCACTTGTCCTGGGGAGCGACTCGTCCCAGAAAAAGTGGTTGTCCTGCCCCCAGAAGCCCCTTCTCGTACCCAGAGACCTTGTTCTCTCCTAAGCGAATTCAGGTCAACAAACATTCGTTAAGGCGCCTACTGTGTGCAAGGCATTGTCTCCCTACTTAGGGAATTCAGTTCAAGGAGCATTCATTAAAGTGCCTAATGTGTGAGAGGCACTGCGGCAGCCAGGGCCACTAGGAGCGCAGCTCTAGAGGAGGCTCTCATTTTACAGATGAGGAAGCTGAGACTCAGAGAGGCAGGATTTGAACCCAGGTCCTCTGACTCCGGAGCCAGTGCTCTTTTCCTCCGCCCCACTCCCGGGCTTCCTCCCTCTCATCCCAGCACCGCAAACTCCTGCAGTAGAGCATACCTCTGTCTATGTCTATCCTCCCCCGAGCTCATTAACACCGCTGGTTCCATCACTAACTGCTGTCCCCTCGACCACAGTACCATCATTGGCTCGGGAGTTGTGGGGTGAAGGGGGCACTGGCCTGGCTAGGGCAACGTAGCTTTCGGGGAATCTCAGACTCTCAAGCAAAGGGAAGCACCTTAAAAATCACCTGTTCCTCGCCCATCTCTTGTGCCTGAACGCACGCGCGCGCAGACACACATTTTTATGTAGATAGAACTGGGTTAAAACGATCCCTCCAAAAAGAAATATCAGGAAAAGGCAAACTGAAGCAAACGAGGATGATAAAAGGGAGAAAACGAAGTCCTGAATTTAGTCCCCGACCATTGCCCCATTGATGGCACTGGTGATGTAGGCTGTTTCTGTATAAGAAAGACCGGCTTTTTTTTTTTTTTCCAGGTCCATCTGGGGAGCATCTCAAGTCAGTACCCATCGGGATCTCAGTGCTGGTCACTCGAGAGGCTGAGTCCCACAAGGTCTATAGGGAAATGATGTGGAAGCTGGGGAGCATCTCCTTAAGTCAGTACCCATCGGGATCTCAGTGCCTGGTCACTTGAGCGGCTGAGCCCCACAAGGTCTATAGGGAAATGATGTGGAAGTTGGGGAGCATCTCCTTAAGTCAGTACCCATCGGGATCTCAGTGCTGGTCACTCAAGAGGCTGAGCCCCACAAGGTCTATAGGGGAATGATGTGAAAGCCTCCCTTATCAGGCTTCAGCTCTGGGCCCCAGGATATTCCAAGACGGTGTACCCGAACACGAAACCGTGAACAGAATATCCTATATCATCAGAACATCCGGACACAATTATCATTACACCAAACTGCAAGTCACAAATAGAGCTACGTAGGCACACAGATTCACACCCTGCCATCTCCATCTCACGGCTTTCCTCTCCATACTCCTTCCTCCTTCACCCACGCTCTGAATAATTTGAGGGGGTTAGTTTGTCCTGTAGACGTACTGCTGCACATTTCTATTTGAGAGAAGAAAAAAAAAAGGTCCCTTTTAAAAAGGGGGGGAGGCGTGGCGGGGTGATGTCTTTTTGACCTTTTCATCCCCAGTGAAGGCAGGCAGGTTGCATCCTTTTCTCCCTGTCTGTTTCTGTCTCTCACTCTTCCCTCCCTCCCCCTTTTGCTTTGTTCTGAGAGAAACACTGGCTATTTCTAGTTGTAAGGATGGTTTATACACATTTGTAAATCTTCACTTGGTGAAACTTTCCCTGTCTTTGTCTTTGTTTTCTTAATGGTAGCCATAAATTACTGCCTTCTTTTCTCACTGGTCCATCAAGCTTCATTGCTTTTGAAATGATCAAAGTTTTTTTTTTTTCTTTTAAAATCCAACTAGAAACCATCTATTGTGTGGAGCAGACCTTTTTAACTTCAGTCAAAGCATATAAATACATAAAGCAGCCCATTAAACTCTTAAGGAAGACTTCTTCCTCTCACTTTCACTAGGTAAAGAAAACTTTGAAAAAAAAATACTGCTTTTTCCATCACTGTTACCCCAAGCTTGAGTTTTACCAAGTGGGTAAGTGAATAATGATAACTTCATTCCTCTCTCGCATCTTTTCGCTTTTTCGCGATATCATTGCCGGGTGTCACTTCTACCTTCCCCCCCGGAGCAAACCACAGATTATACACTCAGAAAAATTGCCAAATTCAAATCGTTTTACTGATTTTCATTTGGTCAGCCTTCAGCCTTCTGTATGTAGATCACAGATCACACACAGCAAAAAACATTAGAGCTAGCAGGGACCTTAGAAGATGGTCTAATCCAGCTCATTTCAGGAAACAAACCCAGAGAAGAAAAATATTTTGCTCAAGGTCGCACGAGTTGGTGACAGAGTCAGATCTGGAATCCACACTCCGAGTCTGCTGTTCTTTCCATGCCATTATGTTTCCAATACCACTGTGCGGACAGTGGGGCACGTATCATTATCCTCATTTTCCAGGAAATTGAGAGAAATGAAATGACCTGCGCGTGGTTGCACTGGAAAGTATGTCAGGGATACTTGAACTCTCCTCCATTTAATTTTTAATGTGTTAGTAAATTTAGCAGTTTGTGCCTATGTTAAGGACGAGGAGAAACAGAGGAAAAAAGGAAAAGATTACTGAGGAAAAGAAGAGGATTTTTGGTGTGAAAAATGCTTAGGTGGCATCCTTGTGTCCATTCTGTCCATTAAGCTAATTTAGATGACAGCAGCTGAATTGCCAGGGGGAAAAAAACTGGCCTCACACCAGAGACTCCAAGTCCAGTGTTCTTTCCACTGATTTTGTTTTCAGTTAATGCATTTTAAACAGTAGTGCACAATGTCTGTTTCTTGTAGAAGTATTAGAATCTTTGCCATCTGATTACGGGGAATTATCCAAATATCCCACTTGGCTTGCCAAAGGCCCATTTTCAGGTTGCACAAGGCATTGCCAAACAAAAATCTCCCTCCATTACTCTAGACTAACATTTCCCAAATTAATTTGACCATGAAAGACTTAAGATCTCGAGATTTTTTTCTTATTAAAAAAAGTATCTTCTTATTTTAAAAAACTGTTTTATTGGCCTGTTATTTTTGCATCATATTTATTTCCAAATATATTTCTCCCTCCTTCCCTACTCAGCAAAAGATGAAAAAGCAAAAGAAAAGAGTTCAGCAAAACTAAACTAAACAAGGACCATGTCTGACAGTACATGAAATATTCTACATCCCTAGTCCTCAATTTATGCAATGACAGCAAGAGGATGTGTTTTCTCAACTCTTCTCTGGAACTAACCTCTGTCATCCTAATTACACGGCAATTTCACATTTTTGTTGTTGTTTCCATTTATGTGGTTGCAGTTGTTGAATATACTGTTTTCGTGATTGGCCCTGCTTACTTCACTCTGCATCAGTTCAGATAAGTCTTCCCATGATTGTCTGGAATTATTCATATTTAGAATTTGTTACAGTACCGTAATATTCTATTGCATTTGTGCACCATAGTTTATTTAATGATTCCCTAATCAATGAGCATTTAGTTTATTCCCAGTTCTTTGCTACCACAGAAAGGATGTGTTAATATTTTGGTGATTGTATCCCCAATGCTTAGCACAGTGTCTAGCACATGGTAGGTGCTTTAAAAATGCCTATCAAGGGGCAGCTAGGTGGCGCAGTGGATAGAGCACTGGCCCTGGATTCAGGAGGACCTGAGTTCAAATCCAACCTCAGACACATAACACTTAATAGCTGTGTGACCATGGGCAAGTCACTTAACCCCATTGCCTAGCCAAATGATAAATAAATAAACAATAATAATAAATGCCTATTGAATAAAGGATCTTTCTTGGACTTGTAATACAGTGATCCAAAAAAATTCTGGCCTTGGGGAGGGGATACCCCTAGAAAAAATGGGGAGCTAGGGAGATTTTAGAAAACGTAGGGAGTTGAGACTATTTTCATACAAAAAAAAAATACTACATATACCAAATATTTTATAAAGACCTAATTTCATAGTTTGGGGCAGCTAGGTGGAGAAGTGAATAGAGCGCTGGGCCTGAAGTCAGGAAGTCTCATCTTCCTGAGTTCAAATCTGGTCTGAGACTATGTGACCCTGAGCAAGTCACTTAACCCTGTTTGCCTCAGTTTCCTTATCTGTACAATGGGCTAGATAAGGAAATAGCAAATCACTCCAGTGTCTTTGCCAAGAAAACTCCAAACAGAGTCACAAAGAGTTGGACACGACTGAACAACAATTTCAAGTTAATATTCCAGGGAGAAATGTCATTAATCATCAAAACTTCCTTACGGATCACCTATTCATGTTGTATAGGACGCTAGGGTTTTGTGGAAGAGTTTAGGAAATATTGCCTTATGGCCTTTTAATCTTTCATTTTATCGTGGACCCCTCTGTCAGTCTGCTGAATCCACTGGGCCCCTTCCTAAAATAAGGTTTTAAATGCATAAAATAAAATACAGAGGATTCCAAAGGAAATGAAAATTAATGAAAATAAAGATGCAACATTTTTCCCGTCTAAGAACCCCTAAAACCTATCCAATCTAATTTTTATATAAAAATTTCATGGGAACATTAGGTTGTCTGAAAACTATGCGGTAAATAGTATTGCATCTTGGAGAGAAAAACCAACCATTCTCTTTCGGCCAGTCATTAA